AAAATGTTTTTGACATTGATAATTTTATATTTATAAATATAAAGGTGTAAATAATGAGTTTAGCTATTTTATTTTCAACTTTGGGTACTTGGAATTTACCCCAGGAAAAATGTTCAAAGACAATGAAGTATGGAGGAACAGAAATCACCGTAGTCTATGTCGGTAGGGAAAATAATGTATCCTTAACAAAAAAATACTATAGTCAAATATAGTTAACTATAGTTTACTATAGTCAACTATAGTAAATCAAAGTTTCAACGTTATCACTATAGTAAATCAAAGTTTTCAAAGTGATCACTATAGTGGCATAGAAATCACTATCGTAATTCAAAGTTTTCAAAGCTATCTCTATAGTAAATCAAAATTTTCACCACAGTAAATCAAAGTTTTCATAGTCATCACTATAGTATTTCAAAGTTTTCATAGTTATCACTATAGTGTCATATTGATCACTATAGTAAATCAAAGTTTTCAAAGTTATCACGATAGTAAATCAAAGTGTCAAAGTTATCACTATAGTGAACTATAGTTTTCATAGTGACAAACTATGAAAACTATAGTTAACTATAATATTTTTTGTTGGGGATATTACTTGTAGGAAAGTGTTTAATTAAATTAATAGTATATTTGCCTATTGAAATACTAAGAATGATTGAATTAATTATAGACTGAGTATGACACTAATTTCATTTTTTTATTTAAAGGTAGATTACTCTTATTGCATTAAAGTACCAAAGAATCACAAATCTTAAGTATGCAATTCATATAAAATTCTAAGATGGCAAATTGAAATCTCGTATGACAGACGTCGAATTACTTATTCAACACAACTTGTCCACTTTCAGAGCCATTGTATTTATGTTGCAAAAACACATCATATTGACATATCAATTTTTTTTATTTATTTAGCGTTTAAGAAGTTTAAGAATCTAGATCAAATTTTATGATCAATAAAATCAAGAAAAAGGGCCAGTCAAGTAAAATCAAGGCACTTTTATCATTTTCCATTACTAAAAAAGTTTAAGAAATAATTTAAAATTGTGAAATTCTTTGGCATATTTTTTATTTCAGACAGAACATTGTCGAGTCTCTCTTACTTGTAAAATAGAAAAGTCCAGATCTGTAATACATGTATGTTGTGTTTCACGATTTTAATCTTCTTTTCTAAACGTAAATATTTCTTTTGGGGTACAAGCTGATTTGAACACATTGTATTCTATTGGAAAGTAGTGTACATAAATAATTAGTTTATAAACTCGTATGCTTCTAAATCTTTTATCTCGACGACGTATTGACAATTAACAATGGTTATTTCCATTCTTATGTCGATACGATGTATCCCAGTGAGCTTGAAATAAAAGATACCACATAGTCTGACACATCTATTTCATATTTGGATATTTTACTAGGAAAAGACGCTAATGGTAATTTAACAACCAAGCTTTATGATAAACGTGATGACTTTTCAATCGTCACCTTCCTTACTTATGAGCAATATACCTTCATCACCTACATTCGGGGTTTATATCTCTCAGTTGATTTGATACGCAAGAGCATGCACTACGTATGAACAATTTCTAAATCGAGGTAGGTTATTGACAAACAAGTTGATGAAACAAGAATATCAGCAGTCTCTTTTAAAGTCGTCATTTCGTAAGTTCTATGGTCGTTACAATGACCTTATCAGCAAAAACAGTTTATCATTAAATCAAATGCTGACAGATGTTTTTCATACTAATTGTTAGGCCATTATTTACACACTGAATTGTCGACAGATTTTTCCGTTATTTCCCGACCATGACAAGGAGCACACGGCGGGTGTGACCGGTCGGCAGGGGATGCTCACTCCTCCGTGGCACCTGATTCCACCTCTGATGTCATAGAGGTCCGTGTTTGCTCTGCTCCTATTTTGTAATGTTTAATGGGCTTTTGAGCTTAAATACTGTTCTTTATATCCATACATTTCATCTTTACAGTGATACTTAAGAACGTTTATCAACTTTTCTCTCATTTTTTCTATTATTTATTTTTTGATATTAGTTCTTTTTCCATGCCTTCAAATCTTAAGACATGAATTCAGTTGTTTATCTTACGAAAATTAGAAAATATTTTGCTTCTAAGAAATATGATGACAAAAATAATTCAAATCAATATTTTACCGCATTCTTTTGGTGAAAATCCCAATTTTCCTTCACTTAAATACTAAAGAAGCTGCATAAATAATACTGAAAGTTCTCTTATGTCGTTAATTATTAGCATAAATTTAATAAAATTAATAAAACTAGCATAAAACAGTTTCGAGTCATCACAATAAAAGGAATCGGACATGCAATCGATGTTGTCCTAACAAGCTACATTTTAACTCCCCTTTGACATATACAGCTTGAAATGCGCTTTCTTGACCAAAAGGTGCGTGCATTTGCATATAACCCAATATGTTTGATGATTTACAAACTAAGCCTTAAGGACCCACTATACACTAAAGAAAATGTTCTTTTACTTTGGGGCATTGAGAAAATTATAGTGTGAAAAGTTGTTAATACTGAGCTCATCTATTACATTTTCAACATAGGGTACTTGTACCTTGTATTTACCCCCAGGAAAAACGTTCAAAGACAATGAAGTACTAATAAACAGAAGTCATTGTTGTTTACTTAAGTGGGCAAAACACCTGCAAACGAAGAGTTCAATCTATTTTATGTCGGTCGACATGAGATGCTTACCCCTTCAAGGTACCCGATCCCTTATCTGGTTTTTCCAGGGGTTTGTTTCTAACCTGTTAACTAATGCATTGTTCAAAAAGTTTGATTTATGAGGTTGGTCACTGTTCGTAATCATAACTTTTTTTTCGTACATTAAAGTTCAATCTGTTATTATGTGGCAATCGGTGTCCCTTTTTGTGTGAAATGAAATATATGGAGATAACGAACAGTATTCAAGCTCAAAAGTCCATTAAACAATACAAATTTTGGAGAAGTGCAAACATGGACCTCTAAAACATCAGAGGTGGGATCAGGTGCCATCGAGGAGTGAGCATCTCTTGCCGACCGTTCACACCCGCCGTGTGCTCCTTGTGTCCAAAAAATATACAAAAGATTTAATTAATCAATTTTTTGCTCTGGGCATGGGCCCCTACCCCAAACTGGTCGCCTCCCCCTTTTCAAGATTCCTGGATCCGCCACTGTCGATCCATCCATACAAGTGCAAAACTGGGGGGGGGGGGGAGTACAGTTTGGTAGTTTTAAAGAGCGGATTGGGGATGGAAATTTCGCTAGCACATTTTATAGACCATATGTTATTACAAGAACGCTTTCAGACCTAACTTATCAAACATGCATGAGGAATGAAGGAGGTAGAAGACAATATAAGATTACACATCTTGACAAATGAAATATGAAGATAACGAACAGTATTCAATCTCGAAGGTCCAATGAAATGATACAAATTTGGAGCAGAGCAAACACGGACCTCAAAATTTAGAGGTGGGATCAGGTGCCATGTAGGAGTGAGCATCCCCTGCCGACCGATCACAATCGCCGTGTGCTACTTGTCATGGTCGGGGGAAAAACTCGGAAAAATCCGTAGACAGTTCAGTGTATAAGTAATGGCCTAACAATTTGTATGAAAACAAGATGTGTTTGTGAAACACTGATGCCCCGTATGGCAGCTTATGGTGAAGGTTAAAGTTTCTCAAATGCAAGTCAAAATCCAGGCCAAAAGATAAAAAGAAATGTTGGTACCCAAAGAAAGGTCTTGTCTCAAGGAATATACCCGTGAAATTTAAAAGCCCTAGCTGCAACTGTTTAAAAGTTATGGCAAAGGTTAAAGTTTTTTAAAAGTAAGTAAAACGTCAAGGTCAAGGTCAAAGTTGTTGGTATCCAAAGGAAGGTCTTGTGACAAGGATTACATATGTGAGGTATGAAAGCCTTAGCATCAACCATTCAAAAGTTATGGCGAAGGTTAAAGTTTTTCGAAAGTAGGTCAAACTCCTATGTCAAGGTGAAAGGGTCAAAGTGGTTGGTATCTATGTTATCCTTGTTTCAAAGGATATTGAAATGAAAACACGTGTTGTGTGGTTCACTGTTTAATGGAGACTGCATGGTCATCAGTAGTCAGATATTAATACACCCAAGCATCACATGGTAAAAGTGCGGGAAAATAGAGAGTAATTCGGTTATCATTACATACATAAAAATAGTACTAATAATTTGCATAAGAACATAAGGTAATAATTTGTAACTTTAAAATATAGATATTACATCCCTCCTTTTCTTAGATAAAGAGATTCATTAATTTTAATTAAAAAAAATATTAATTCATCAGAGAACCATTTTAGACTAATAAAAAAAAATAACAAAGCAAAATCTATTTAACTACAGAGTCACTTATTCACAGAGTCACTTAGACACAAAGTCTTTCAATACACTAGGTCTTCTGACAGTACGGCCGGACCTGGTGACGTAAGGGTTCGAACTGGGTACGACTTTGGTTCGACTCGCAACGCGTTTCTGTGCTTCAGGAATCCTGATTGTAGGCGTTCCTGGTACGTTTGATGATGACGTATCATTTAACGGCATTTCTGTGCTGGCCCTCCGATATACTATCTCTTCCTCCTCCGGGTATTCAGTCTCGCGCGATTGTATGTTCCTTGGACACGCAATTCTTTTGAAGAAGGATGAGTTGCGCGTAACACACTTCGTCGTCGGACTGGAACAAGGGGAGGCTGATATCATTGTTCCCTTGGTGCTCACTACGATGTGAGGTTCCGGGTTATAAGCTGGCGTCAGCTTATTTCCAGATTCGTTTTTGATAAGGACGGTATCTCCACTGTTTATCTGTTGAGTCCTGTTTCTGGTCTCTGATCTCATCTTACGTTTGGCGTATACATCCTGCTGTCGCGCGATTTCGTCTATGGGACGATCTGTTGGTCTTGATATTTGTGGTAGTTTAGTTCTTGTATCTCGGCCAAACATCAGCGTGAATGGGCTTAATCCTGTTGATTAATGAGGAGTATTTCGATACTGTCGAAGAAAACGGAACAGTTCTTGTTTCCAGTTTTTCCTGTCAACATGAGCAACTCGGACTGCCTTCATCATCGGTTTGTTAAAGGATTCTGCCTGAGCATTCGCCCGAGGCCAACGAGGTGTGATTCTGCGGTGATGAAATCCCATGTTTTCCGCGAATTCCTTGAATGCGGCAGAGTTAAATGGACTTCCGTTGTCCGACTTCACGACCTTAGGTATTCCAAAAGTAGAAATGACTTTATCCAGGACAGGAATAGTAGCACTTGCTGAGGTTGATCGCATTATTTCGACGACTGGATATCTGGTAAATTCATCAGTGATCACGAATAAGTATTCCCCTGCTGGTAAGGGTCCACAAAAATCAACACTTAAGTTTGCCCATGGACCATGTGGCATATCGGACATCTTGAATGGTTCAATTCGATTAGGCCTTTCAGTAACGCTCTGACAAGGTAAGCAGAATTTGAGCGAGTTTTCAACTAAATCGTCTAATCCAGGAAACCATACTTTTGAGCGTAGCAGTGCCTTGGTGCGGCTGATTCCCTGATGTCCTTCATGAGCAATGGTTACGGCCCGTTCACGGAGAGATTTAGGTAGGACTAAACGGCCCTCTCTTAGTAAAACATTGTCAGAATACACAGCTAATCCGTCTTGAACATTCCGTAAAGCTTGTAGTTCTAGCAAATCCACATCTTTATCCTCCAGTCGCTTAAGTTCATACCATTTTCCTGTGCGTACATAGTCAATAGCCTTTTGCATTGTCTTGTCCTCATTAGTTGCTCTTTTAACTTCATCCAAGGTCATAGCTTTAGGTACGGCTTTTTCGGCAATGAACTTCACATAGTGCTCTGCTATGTCCTCCTCTCGTGAGAGTTTTTGTGTCAAAATGGGGTGTCTTGACATATAGTCAGCAGGGTTATCTTTCCCAGGACGGTAGACAATAGTCATCTTATAAGGTTGTAATCTGAGACCCCATCTCTCTATCCTGAGTGGAGGTTTAGCTCGCTTCTATATGGATTCCAATGGCTTGTGGTCTGTCACAACTCTGAAGTATGGTGCACCTCGTAAGTACATGTCGAAGTGTTCACATGCCCAGACGATACCTAGGGCTTCACGTTCCGTCTGGCTGTAACGAGACTCTATGGGGCTTAATGACCTGCTGGCGTATGCAACAACCTTGTTCTCCTGAGTGAGAATTGCACCCAAACCCACTGGGCTAGCGTCCACTATTAACTCGACAGTTTTATTTGGGTCATAGTACACTATCAAAGTATCACTTGACAAGAGTGATTTCAACTTGTCAAAAGCAGCGTCCTGTTCGGCTGTCCAAGACCATGACAAGTCTGCGCGCATCAGGCGCCTCAAAGGTTCACTTACTGTTGAGTAGTCTGGAATAAATCTAGAGCAATATGAAGTCATGCCAAGGAAACTTCGGAGTTCACTGATGTTCGACGGTTTCTGTGCATCGCGTATGGCAGATACCTTTGCTGGGTCATGCGATATTCCGGACTTGTTGAACACCAAGCCAAAGAATGTGATATGGTCACGATTGAACTCACATTTCGATCGATTTAATTTTAAACCACTGGCACTTAGTGATTTTAGAGTGTCCTCGAGAGCTTTATCATGCTCCTCTTGGTTTTTACCAAATACCAAAATATCGTCCGAAATATTCCTAGCACCTGACACAGTCTATATCACACTGCGCACAGTCTCCTGAAATATCTCAGATGCGGACGAAATACCAAAGTTCAAACGTTTATACCTGAAGATTCCTACGTGAGTATTGAATGTAGTGATGGAACGACTCGCGTGGTCCAACTCGAGCTGATGGTACCCTTGTCTAAGATCAAGCTTGCTAAATACAGATGCGCCGTTCAAGTCATGGATGAGTTCATCTACGGTAGGCATTAAATGTCGTTCACGGATGATCGCTTTGTTTGCTCTCTCATGTCTACACAAACACGAATCTCATCAGGATTTTTCTTAGGGACGCAGACAATAGGTGACACCCATGGTGTTGGTTCGTTTTCTACGCGTTCTATGATGTCATCATCTAGCAGCTTTTGTAGCTCCGCTTCAACTTTCGGACGCAAATGAAACGGTATACGTCTGCTCCGCTGCGCAACTGGCTTCACCGAAGTATCTGTATGAATGTGGACTGTTTTGTTGACAAGTTTACCAATTCCTTTGAACACGTCTTGGTGTTTCCGAGTGACATCAGCATGAGACAGCTGGTTCACAATATGTACAAGTTCTAGAGAACGGCACGTAGAATAACCTAACAACGCTCCATTGCTCCCACGGACAACATAGAATTTGTGTTGTTGCATGATGTTTTTCCACTGAACATCAAGTAAACATGAGCCAATCACATCCAGCGGTGCATTTCCTCCATACGGCATAAGCTTGGAACCGTTTGTTTCGAGTCTGGGTTGTCCCAACTTTAGGTAAGTTGCTTCGTCCAAGATATTTACTGACGCTCCGGTATCAAGGAGAAAATCGCAGTAAGTTCCATTGACCTTAAGACACTGTTTTGGGCCTTTGCTACAGTTAATAGTATACAAATACTCTTCATCAGTTGAGGACATATTTTCCACATCCAACTCTCGCACAACTCGCGTTTTGTGTTTCTTTGGATAGCTTCCCTTGGCACCATTACTTTTCTTTGACCGGCATACTTTCTCAAAGTGATTAAGTTTCTTACAATAGCGGCACTGTTTGCCTTTAGCGGGGCATTCTGCTGTGTGCGGATACGGTCCCCCGCAGTTCCTACACGTGTTCGCCACGGCAGCGCTCACGGCCGTGCACTTAGATTGACCTTTCGGCTTCTCACTCTGTCTGTTCTTAAATTTCACACGTGGTTTGTTTACGAAATTCACAGCACGCTCACTCTGTTCTTCCATTGTTTGCGCCTGTGTTTCAGCCACTTCCATTGCTCGGCCTAGATCCATTAAATTCTGCAGGGTCATATCGGGCTCACGTAATGCTCTCCTCCGCAGGCGGTTTGAGCGACAGTGTTGAATGATTTGGGATAAGATTTCTTTGTTTACATCATTAAATTCACAGTCTTTTGACAATCTACGGAGTTCAGTTACATACTCATCAAGTGTTTGAGTGCCCGATTGCTTACAGTTTCTAAACTTGTACACAGCCATTTGTATGTTTTTCCGCGGAGAAAAATATGTAGACAGTACCTGTTTCGTTCCTACGTATGTAGTTGGCGAATCTTCCTTTTCGGCGTTGTAGATGTCGAAGACACGTTCTCCAGCGTAGTGTAATAAAAGCGCTCTTCTCCGGCCAGTATCGTCAATGTTCATTCCAGTGAATAATAGTTCCAATCGCTCAATCCACTTCTCCCACTTTGGTCCTGCATCAGCCTTGTCTGCATACTCAAATGGGGGAAATTCTGGTAATCGGTCCATTGCCGATCGTTAACAGTATTTTCCTCGTCGCCAGATATGTTATCCTTGTTTCAAAGGATATTGAAATGAAAACACGTGTTGTGTGGTTCACTGTTTAATGGAGACTGCATGGTCATCAGTAGTCAGATATTAATACACCCAAGCATCACATGGTAAAAGTGCGGGAAAATAGAGAGTAATTCGGTTATCATTACATACATAAAAATAGTACTAATAATTTGCATAAGAACATAAGGTAATAATTTGTAACTTTAAAATATAGATATTACAGTATCCAAAGGAAGGTCTTGTCACAAGGATTACATATGTGAGGAATGAAAGCCCTAGCACCAACCATTCAAAAGTTATGGCCAAGAAGGTAAAAGTGCTTGGTATTCAAAGGAAGGTGATGTCACAAGGATTACATATGTGAAGTATGAAAGCCCTAGCATCAACCATTCAAATGTTATGGCCAAGGTTAAAGTTTTTCAAAAGTAGGTCAAACTCCTAGGTCAAGGGCAAAAGGTCAAAGTGGTTGTTATCCAAAGGAAGGTCTTGTCACAAGGATTACACATGTGAAGTATGAAAGCCCTAGCTCCAACCGTTCAAAAGTTATGGCCAAGGTTGAAGTTTTTCAAAAGTAGGTCAAACTCCTAGGTCAAGGTCAAAGGGTCCAAGAGGTTGATATCTAGAGGAAAGTCTTGTCAAAAGGAATACACATGTGAAGTTTGAAACCCCAAGCACCAACTGTTCAAAAGTTATGGCCAAGGTTAAAGTTTTTCAAAAGTAGATCAAACTCCAAGGTAAAGGTCAAAAGGTCAAAGTGGTTGGTATCCAAAGGAAGGCCTTGTCACAAACAATACACATGTGAAGTTTGAAACCCTAAGCACCAACTGTTCAGAAGTTATGGCCAAGGTTAAACAGACAGACAGACAGGACAAAAACAATATACCCCCGGGACCTTTCGATCCAGGGGCATAAAAATCAGCATTTTACTTAATGATTGGTTGTATGTGCTGACAAGGTCATTGTATCGACCGTAAAACTTGCGAAATGATGACTTCAAACGAGACCTTTGATGTCCTTGTTTCATCAACTTGTTTGTCAATAGTTTGCCTCGTCTTAGAAATTGCTCATACGTACAGCATGCTCTTACGTAACGAATCAACTGAGAGACATAAACCTTTTTCTAGTAAAATATCTAAATATGAAACAGATAAGTCAGAATTTTATTTATTTCAAGCTCACTCTGATATATCGAGTCGACATATGAATGAAAGCAACTATTGTTAAATGACAATACGTCGTCGATATAACAAAATGTCTAGTTGAAGGCCACAGGAAGTGTTTTCTTCTTCTCATGTAGGAGTTTTTGAATAAATTCTGCTTCATATGAATACAAAAAAGGTCTGCTAATAAGGGAGCGCAATTGGTGCCCATGGAAATTCCAACAGATTGTTGGAAGACCTTATCTCCAAAAACTACATAGATATTGTCAATAAGAAACTCAAGCATCTTGTTAATATCAACTTCAGAGTACTTGTGTGTACAATCAGAATGCTTTTTAACAAAATAATTTTGCAAATGACCAATGACAAGGTAAGTATATTTATGAGTTCCATCTTTATTGAAAAAGCAGCTGTGTATGATGTCAAAAATCCTGGACTTTAATTTTTCGTGGGGAATGGTTGTATAAAGTGTTGAAAAATCATACGTTTTGATGCTATTGATTTTAGTAAAAGTTTGTGTTTTCAAATTTTCTAAGAGTTCTTTGGAGTTTTTAAAACCTTTTAATGAAAACTGTTTTAAACTGATGTAAAATAGAACCTTCGGGACTACTCACTCTTCGTAAAAATATCGTAAATACATTAGCTAAAAATTAGAAAGAGAAAACTATAAATTTATTAACACTTATTATGACCTATTTTAGAATCTAGCAGTAAAGATGAAATTGAGAATAGAGATAAGTTAGACAAAAGGGGATATGTATATCAGTACCAAGGATGCAATAAATATGAAAGGGGGAGGAGATATATACATGTAGAAACACGCTGTTATAAATACCATGCCGCCTTGGACCTGTTCAATTTTACTGTAGTTTATGCCACTTCATAGGCAAGAAAAAAAAGTAAAGTGAGGAGACATGCAAAGGGGTATCGACCACAAAAATTGGCAGAGGAAAATTTCGTCTAACAAGGAAAGAAATCTGAGGAGATGACTGTGTACATGTACCTTTAAAAGGATGAGAAGCCCCTTCATCTTAAGGATGAGCTCTCTAGGGAAAAGAGCCAAAAGATATAGAAGAGATCAAAGAAACCCTAAGCAAAAATCCTAAAAAAAAAAAAAAAAACAGAGGAGCATGTTGTTTTACGTCCCATTCGAGAATTTTTTACTCATATAGAGACGTCACCATATACCGGTGAAGGACTTAAAATTTTGACCTCTACTCGGCACTCAGGGCCATTGAGCAGTGAGGGATCTTTATCGTTATTCGAACTCAGACCTCCCGATCACGGAGCGAGCGCTCTACCGACTGAGCTACCGTGAACGGTAGCATGAGGAGATGGAGAAAAACTAGTGCGGATGCCGTCGTGCCAGACTGCTCACTATTATGCCTGAGCCACTAAGAGAAAAGGAACCAGTCGTGCCTACCTTAACTCACGCTTCCTGTACCAGTTGTAGATGAGATCCTTCAGCAAGAAGGAGCAGATAGATTCGTTTGCAGCAGAGAGCGGAGGGAAAAGGAGAAGGGTGGAGTTAATGAAAGAGTCGTTGAATGTTTTAAAAATCTTCTCAACAGAATGGCCAGTTGCTGACTATGCTCAACACAGACACTATGGTATTAGTGAAGACGGCAAAAACACCAGACAACAAAGCAGAGAGACGCAGAAGGGGGTCGAATTCTTACACAAGATCTATGGTTTAGAAAAATAATTAGAAGAGTTTGTGTAAGTATAGTCTTTAAATTTTCCACTATTGGTAGGTGCATATATATTAAAGCTTTTTTGTTGTATTTTGAAAGAAATGGTTGCTGGTAAATGTAATGTTGGAATTGGCAACGTAAGGTTCTTATGGCTTTGTGAATTTGTTAATCTTATAATAAGATTCTGTTGAGGACACCAAAGTTTTAAGAGGGAGGAAATGTCACTACTGTGACTTGGGTTAATATAATTATAGCATTGTGTGTATAGCATCGTGCTCAGGTAAAAGTAATGTTTTATTAATTACAAAATGTAATTTTGATTTCATTTCTAGAGTAATGGTGTCTTTCAGTGTATCATATGATATCTATATTAGGTCGTATTTTGACTGACATATTTCATATCAATTGTTAGGCCTTTGTTTTATATTAAATTTGACTACGGAATATTCCGTCTACCTGATCAATACACAGCTATGCTAAAATACGCTGTAATTGTTTTAAATAACATTTTTAAAGTTTGTATTTTTTTTTATAGATACTGCCATCCTGGTACATATTATTTGCAGAATATGACTCCCGATTTTACTTGTAATTTCGCTGCAATAAATGTATCTAAAATTGTATTTTTATTGACTGGAAATTGTTATACAGTTTGAAACTCTACAAAGCTGTTTCTTAATTTTTGTAGATATTATTTAACTTTTAAACATATGTTGACCAAGTTTATTGCCGATGATATCGTAGACCTGCAGATCGTCCCTAAGGAAGCGCAGGAGTTTCCGGAGGGGGGGGGGCGATCTGGAGGTATTTGTAGTGAAATAAGCATTGCCAGTTTGGCTCGGGGTTAGGCTTCTAAGGTTAGAGGGTGTTTATTTTGATATTCAGATTTTTTAGTAAGGAATTGGTGACTTTTTAAAAATTAATTTACTTCTTTTTAAATCGTGATTTAAACGGGTTTATTTGGTATCATGAATAAGTATTATCTAAAACGTTTATATTGGGTTAATCTCAGAATGAAACGATTTAATAATTTTGTTACGGTTTGACTGAGAGTTATTTTCTTCAAGTCTTTCCCAGTAAATAATTGATTAATTGAAAAAAAAAATTAAATGTTTATGAAAGGAAAAAAACGCCTATGTAACACATTCGCTTGTCGGAAAGGTCCGAGAAATTGCCATTGAGATTATGGACTTACCACCAAGAAAAAAAAAACATTGTAATAACTTTTAATTAATATGTTAAGTTTAACTGGAAACATTATTCAATATCAGTCTTTTTGTTGAATATAACAATATTTAGAACCCGAGCCTAGCTGTAAAACTTAATCCAAACGCTTTCTCTCAGAATGATTTCTTTGACCCTTTTAGAAACTATAATAAAGGATGAAAAGGACTTAAGAGTACACGGCATATCAATATACATTTAGAAGGCAACTGACAGTTCACTGAATGTAAGGAGAGGTTGAACATGGGCATTGTTATTATTATTCACCTCTGCTTTTTCCTATTTTGTATGAAATATTTACGTTTCCAAATATTTTTCTTTAAGATATACACGCTATAACTTGCGTCAGTTAAATATAAAGTTGGAAATTTATTTATTTTGTGTACCAAATAAAGTTACGAAAATACTGTAAATTACGCAATTGAAAAAGAACGCGTTATAAAGATCTCAAATTATAATTATTTATTTTCCTGCCAGGAAAGTAAAGTTTCTATTTGAATTAATGCATCACGTGACACCGTCGCTACTTTAGATTGATAAACAAAAATGGCGTCAAGAAAACGAGGCAGGCCGTTTGGTATACAAATAACTTTTGACATGGATGGCAAACGTCTAATGCTTTAAAAAACATCCAGTAATAACCATCTTCTCTGTAATGACAAATATTAACTTTTTATTCATAATCGTAGTCAAAATGCAACGTACCTCGTCGTCTATGATTTTCCGCGCACATCCGTGTCTATATACTGTTTACGCACTTCCTTCACCAATATTCATGAAAAGGCTAAATTCTTTATTGCAGATCTTGCTTAATTGTCTTGTAATTACAACGACTTACATGTCGTATTTAGTAAAACTTTGTGGCAAGTAAATTATTTTTTATTTCACATCATGTTTCTCAGATCGTTTAATCAGTTTGTTTCGCATAAAAAAAATCGCGTTTATATAGCGTGTATACCTTTAAGATATACGTACTTCGCAAATTAGAAAAAAAGTTTACGTTCTCATGAACTACCATGAGATGAGTAAGAATATTTCCATTGTGAAGTAACTGAAGTAAAAAAAAAAACAGTTGTACATAAAGATTGTGACCATGCACTTCATTCTTATGAATGCCACAGACTTGAAATTGTTTATGTTCATATTTTGCTCTCACGTTTCTTGCCTACTTCAATTCCTGCACCTATTTCTGCATTTTTCGTGTTTCCAATTTTTTTGCACGCATTTTGTTATACGCCTGTTTTTTGACTCAGTTGACCTAATTTTGATTGTTTACTTCCTGTCAAAACTGAAAGTAAGAAAACCTGGAATGGCTGTGGTGAATTTGGCCGAGATGATTATTTTTGACACTCATGACTAAACTTAAAAATATTGAAAGTTATTTGATATCACAGCCATCAATTCATTCCGAAAGATTTCAAACTTCTAAAGGTATGTTATTGCTCCCCAGCTTTTTAGTTTTGTACTATCTACTTTTAATTGGTGGCGTTGAATTGAATCCAGGTCCCACGTTCAATGCATCATCAACTTATATAAAAATAGTACATAATAATGTTTGTAGTCTCCTGCCAAAAGTCGATATTGTTTATAATGAACTTTCAGACTTTGATATCATTGAAATTATAGAAAGTCATCTTGATAGTACAATACCTACCGACGATATAGAATTTGAAGGATTTCAAACACCAATTAGGTTAGATCGTAACAGATATGGAGGGGGTGTCGTTCTATATGTTAAAAACAATCTTAAATTTACTCAAAGATCTGATCTCTTTAACCCAAACATTGAAATTTTATGGGCTGAAATTCAAAATTCTACAAATAAATTTCTAGTAGGAGTATTATACAGACCACCAAACTCAAAGGCAGATTTTATTGACTATATTGCATCTTCCCTAGAAAATGCCCTTAACACAAATTTGCCAGTATTTCTAGTAGGCGACTTTAATATTGATATGATGTCTAAGGGATTTAAATGCATTTAAAAGTTTACTAAATAAATTTTCCTTAACAAATTTAATAAACCAGCCAACTAACTTTACTTCACAAAAGGGAACATGCATTGACCTTATACTTACAAACAATACTGAAAAAGTTGAATCAGTGGTAGTGCTAACCCCATTTTGCAGCACACATAGTCCAGTGGGTGTTGATGTAAAATTCAAAACATTTAAACAATGTGCATATAAAAGAGTAGTTAGAAATTACTCAAAGGCTGATTATAAATCACTTAATAAAAACCTCTCAGATTGGGATGGAGAGGTTTTTAATACTCAAAACATTAATGAAGTCTATACCAATTTTACTAGAGTATATAATTACCATGTTGACAAAAATATACCTAAAAAAGTTGTTGTAATTCGCCCATCTGATAAACCTTTTATGACAAGTTCAATTAGACGTAAAATGAGACAAAGAAATAGGGTACATTATAAAGCAAAAAAGACTAATAGTGATTATCAGTGGAGTAAATATCGGAGTCTAAGGAACGAAGTTATAACTATGGTACGACAGGCTAAGGATACTTACAAACAAAAGATTACATCACAAATCTTAGACAAAACTATTCCTCCTGGTAAATGGTGGAGAATTGTGAAATCATTAACTAAATTTGCCAATAAAAACAAAGTGCCTCCACCACTGAAATCTAATGGTAATATTTTCATCCATCCCACTGATAAGGCTACCCAACTGAATAAACATTTTGCAAAGATTTCTCATATTGAACATTATAGAGAACCCCAATTGCCCCCTCAAGGACCTGGTCCCCCGTATTCCATAGATTCCATAAGTATTTCAACTCAAGATGTTATTGATCAACTTGAAAATTTAAACATATTAAAACCTCCTGGTCCTGATGGAATTGCACCACAAGTATTAAAAAATATAATTCCTGCCATTAGCAGACCTCTCACTAAATTATTCAATCTCTCCCTTAAAACTAATAAAGTACCATATATTTGGAAGCAATCGGATATAACACCTGTATTCAAAAATAAAGGGAGCCCAGAAGACCCAGCAAACTACAGACCAATTTCACTTACCAGTAGTCTGTGTAAAATCATGGAAAAAATTGTATTTAAATATCTGTACAATTATATGTTTAATCACAATCTTCTCTCTAAGAACCAGTCAGGCTTCCAGCCAGGTGACTCCACTGTTAATCAACTTGTTGAAATTTATAACACAATTATATCAAACCTTGATCAAGGCAAAGATGTTAGATTTGTCTTTTGTGACATATCTAAGGCTTTTGATAAAGTATGGCATAAAGGACTGTTATATAAATTACAACAGTATGGTTTCACAGGTGATATCTTAAGTTGGATTGAGAATTTTCTCTGTGATAGAGTCCAGAAGGTAGTGTTAGAAGGATACTCCTCTGGATTGGAAAGTGTTAATGCTGGGGTCCCGCAAGGGTCAGTTTTAGGTCCATTTCTTTTTCTTATCTATATCAATGACATAACTGAAAACATACAAAACCAAATAAGACTGTTTGCAGATGACACATCCTTGTTTGTTATTGTAGATGCTGACACAGTCAGCCCAGCAGTATCTCTAACTGATGATCTTGAAAAAATAAGGCAATGGTCTCATCAGTGGCTAGTTGAATTTAACCCTATGAAGACAGTAAATGTTAATTTTACCAGAACTCAACGAGTACACCCAAATATCTCATTTGGGAACACAATGAATATTATTTCTCAGAATCAAAGTCACTGTCATCTAGGGTTGACATTACAGTCTAATGGGGGGTGGTCCGAACATATTACAACAATTTATGAGAAAGCTTGCTTACGACTAAATATATTGCGTACACTTAAATATAAATTAAAAAGGGACTTGTTAATCAAAATATATCTTTCATTTGTTCGACCAGTTGTAGAATATGGGGATGTGGTATGGGATAATTGCACTGAAGAACAATCCAAATTACTGGAAAGTGTTCAGGTGGAAGCTGCAAGAATAATTACAGGTATTAGGTGCAATACATCAAAAACTAACCTATATTATGAGTTGGGATGGGAAACCTTAAGTTCAAGAAGGGAAAAGCATAAGCTCACACTGATGTATAAAATTCTTAATAACCTTACCCCTGATTACATGTATAATATGCTCAAAGGATGTATGCCAATTCAGCATAATTATAATTTACGCAACCAAAACTCATATCGTATCCCAATCACTCGAACAGTGTCTTACTATAATAGTTTTGTACCATCCACAATATCCTTATGGAATAATTTAGCTGATGATTGTAGAACTTCCCCTACATTGCAAAATTTCAAAAAAAGATTAACCTACACCAATTCCTTCCAGAAAAATAAAGTTAAGTTGTACAATTATGGGAATAGAATTGAAAATATACTACATTGCCAGTTGAGAAATAAATGTAGTAACCTTAATGCTGATCTTTTTAAAGACCACCTCAATGATTCACCAAAATGTACAAATTGTGGATACCAAATTGAAGATTCATTACATTTTTTCATGTATTGCCCACAATACGTTCTTCAAAGACAGATGCTGATTAAATATATGAATGAGAAAGACATACCAATTAATAAAGATAATATACTATATGGTGCTGAATCCTTATGTTTAGAAGACAACTTTTCAATTTTTGATCATATACATACCTTTATAAGAAACTCAAAGAGGTTTTCACTGAAATGTTAGTTTATCATGATATGCTAGGAAGAATAATATCTCATTTTAGGTATGTTAAGGAAGTTTTTCCACTCTGAGTCAACTTTATTATGTTTTTTTTTCCTTTTTATGGTCTTTCTCTGGCTCTATTTACTCTCTCTCTCTCTCTCTTTCACCCTCTGTGGATTCACTTTATACATGTACCAATTAATGGTTTATTTTATATACTGCTTTTCAATGTTAAATGTACTTTATTATGTTTTCTTTCTCTTTATTTTACTCTCTCTTTCTCTGGATTCACCTTATATATGTACCAATTAATGATCTATTTTACATACTGTTTTCAATGTTAAATATACCAATAATTGTTATATGTACCTTGACCTATGGAGAGAACGATTATAGGCATTATGCCTGCTGTTCAATCCATTTCATTTGTAATAAATAAATATATTTTAAACTAAGTCAAAAAATAGTGCAAACTTTTTTTTTCAATTATGATCGTTCTATGACAAAAGTATGTGACAAGTCATCAGAAAAATAATGTAATTATAAGACATGAATACCATTTGACAAGATACAAAAAATAATAAAGGAAATTTTAATATAGATGTTTTTTGATTTCTTTTTTATTTGTTTAAAAATGTTTTTTTTTTTATTATTTTCAGGTGTACCTATTAATCCAGTGGATATTAGTAGATGATTTTTTTCATACTCTCTGCATTCCCATGCCATGTTACGTCATGCAGTCAAATACATTTACATGTGCATGTGTGCACATTTGTAAACACTGGAGATCCATGAAAATCCCTTATATTACAAGCAGTTATTCGATTTATAAAGTCAACGAAATAAGACAGTCATTTAAAAGTATAAATGAGTTATTTGATAATGAAATTGACAGAAAAGGAGATTAAGGAACTGAAAGTCGATAAAAACTTTCTTTCCTTTCGTCAAAATCTTGAGGTTTAGCATACAATTCGCTGAATAAAAAAAGCATAACCGATCTCAAAATACATGATAAAAGATCATACATGTTTATTCTCTTAACACGTTCCCCCTAAAGCTGTTCATAAAATTGCTGTTTGCAAAAATGAATAGAACTCAGTCATACTAATACTCATCCCATCCCTCTCCGCAAAATAATGATAAAAATAATAATCATATTGGATTAAAAAGATAAAATATTTATATTTGGTTTGTTTTCAACAGTTCTTTTTAGAAGATTTTGTGTACATGCTAACCAAGTATTGATCGTAAAACTCGGTTTTCCTGACAAGTTTCTATTTCCCCTATTCATTATTTGACAGGAATCAGGTTTGCTATTCATTATGTTGAGTATCATATGTGATGAGAATAATAAATAGAATTGAATGTACAAGCTAATTAAGAATCACAAATCCGATCAGGTGGTTTGGGAATGAAATTAAAGCTAATATTTCTTAGCCAAGCCCTTTTAATTAGCTGGAAGTCTATAAATGTGAATTATTGATGATTTTTTTATACGAATACGTGTAATCTGTAACAGTGAAAGATGAATAAATCAATGTCCACTTACATCGCCTTGTTAATCATGTCTAAGGACACATGCATGAGAGATGTATAAAAATTCCTTTTTTAAAAAATTTATTCTGACTAGCACACTTTGCAATACAAAATATATCATATCACATTATCTATTGTCACTTGTTTCTTTAATTTGAATTAATGAATCATGTCCGTGGAATTTAAAATTTCAAATGAAAGACACAGTATAGAATAATTGTAGATATATGTCAATAGGTGTTCAGAAATTACATGGATTGACAGGCCAAAATCGATATTAGGAAAGAAGTCTCGAGTCGAACACTCCTATAATGTAAGGTAAGAGTGATTTTGCCACATAGTTATAATGAGGAAAATAAAAGCGATCAAGTGTCAAAAGCATTCCTTGAAGAAGTCATTGCATGGTGTTAACCCTTCTTTGGAGTACATAACTCAGTGCCGGTTTCTGATACCTAACCTCTGACAGCACGAACGGAGGTTGAACCGTCTTATTCCTCTTATACATCTTGCTTAAATTTCTCCTCTAATGGCAGTAGAATTTTTTCCATATCTATAAAGTCAAATAAATAATGTATTTTGCGTCCAGATATTGATAATCTTCTGAATTATTTCACCCCTGACCAATAAGACTGTTAAACTGGGATTGAATATTTTACTAATTTTTCCTGCATTACATATTTCGATTTTGATAAAGTTATAGAATCCTTTTTGACTGTTTTAAGAAAGTATATATTGTTGCTGTAAAGGAGAAATGTACCTGAGATTTATTATGATATTCATTTATTTGGATAGAAATTTAATCAGCGACTGGGCAACTGCAGGTGGCAAAAATAATTTTGTGCTCGAAATTACGCACACAATCATCGGTGTTTCTAAAATGACAGTATAAACAATTGACTAAGTATCGCACATAAAAATGATTAACAAAAATCACAGCACTCTCTTAAGTGATGAAAAAAATGCCTAGATCAAGGGATATCAAATAAATCGTAAATTACGTTTCTTAAGGTGTTCGTCATCCACACGTTTATTTAGGTTATCTGTATTAATTAGAATTTTTAACGAGAAAAATAATGCTTAGGTACCTAGCAACACAAAACAAACAAATCAACATGAGGTTTGTGAAACTGTCATATTTTCATGAAATGTGATGGAAAGACGCAGTGTTCTCATCTCAATTTGTGTTAATTTTGCAAAATTTTTTCTGGGAGAAAGCGCTTGGATTAAGCTTTAGAGCTAGACTCAGGTTCTAAATATTGTTATATTCAAAAAGACTGATATTGAATAATGTTTCCAGTTAAACTTACCAAGTTAATTAAAAGTTATTACAATGTTTTTTTTCTTGGTGGAAAGTCCATAATCTCAATCGCAATTTCTCGGATCTTTCCGACAAGCGACTGTGTTACACAGGCGTTTTTTCCCTTCATAAACATTGAAATTTTTTTCAATTAATCAATTATTTACTGGGAAAGACTTTCAGTCAAACCGTAACAAAATTATGGAATCGTTTCATACTGAGATTAACCCAATATAAACGTTTTAGATAATACTTATTCATGATACCAAATAAACCCGTTTAAATCACGATTTAAAAGGAAGTAAATTAATTTTTAAAAAGTCACCAATTCCTTACTAAAAAATCTGAATATCAAAATAAACACCCTCTAACCTTAGAAGCCTAACCCCGTGCCAAACTGGCAATGCTTATTTCACTACAAATACCTCCAGATCGTCCCCCCTCCGGAAACTCCTGCGCTTCCTTAGGGATGATCGGCAAGTCTACGATAATATAGGCAATAAACGTGGTCAACATATGTTTAAAATTTAAATAATATCTATAAAAAATAAGAAACAGCTTTGTAGAGTTTCAAACTGCATAACAATTTCCAGTCAATAAAAAACAATTTTAGATACATTTATTGCAGCGAAATTACAAGTAAAATCGAGAGTCATATTCTGCAAATAATATATACCATGATGGCAGTATCTTTTAAAAAAATAAACTTTAAAAATGTTATTTAAAACAAATACAGCGTATTTTAGCATAGCTGTGTATTGATCAGGTAGACGGAATATTCCGTAGTCAAATTTAATATAAAACAAAGGCCTAACAATTGATATGTAATATGTCAGTCAAAATACGACCTAATATAGATATCATATGATACATTAATTAATTTGCTGAAGCAATTTTCATTAATAAATGCTGACAAATGCAAGTTTTGCAAATCCATCCAAATTTTAACTTCTTTTACATGTATGTATGTCAATTATATTTGTATTGAAGGGAACAAGTGTATCTACAGTCCCTGAAAAGTTTTACTTTCCCACTTGAACGGTGAGCGAACGGTGAACGAACAGAGAGCGAACGGTGAACGAACGCAGATCGAACGGTGACTGAACGATGTGTGAACGCTGAACGCAACTTGGTGAACGATAGGTGAACGCTGAACGGTGAGCGAACGCAGAACGCGAACGGAGCGCAAACGCGAGCGCAATGTGAACTGTGAACGCAAGATTTATTCGGAATGCCTCTGATCTTTTCCATGCATTGTATCTATTCTATTGTATTCTAATGTCAGGCGCAAAATAAATAAATATATAGATAAATAAATAAATAAATAAATATTCAAAATTGTCTTAAGAAAGATTAAACATGCACATTAAGTAAAACTATTAATTAAGTTTCTTACAATATTTTCTGCACATATATATGATGTTTAAATTCAGCTGTTTAATCACACGATTTTTATCGTTGTAAAACATTGTTATTGTTACCGAACGCTATAGTTTAAAAGATAAAATCATTCTAGTTGTAAAATAAATATGTTTATTCTTATTTGATATATAAAACCATTACTGACTTATAGAATGAAATATAACGGTTGTAACAACCATACATGTATTTCCGTGTCAAGGCAATTCCATGTAAAATAGTGAGGAAAAAATATTTTGCTACGGTCTGTGGACGTATTGCATCTACATGTATACACTCATATTTAAAAAAAAAATTGTTATAGATTAAAATTTCAGAACTTGTTATTTAAGTACGTGTCATAGATTGATTAAACGGACAAGTGAGAGAGAGAGAAAGAGAGAGAGAGAGAGATTCCGTTTTAGCCCCCCCCCCTTTCCACAAATGCATGTACATGACATGTACATGTATAAACAAAAATTCTTATTTCTTATCTAAATATATACATGATATCAGGCAGTGAAAGTAAACTTTTTTTTATCAACAAATTCATTTTGTTTGACAGTCATGATCGGTTTTTATTTTCCTGCTTCAAGTTCACGTGTTTGTCCTGTCAAAATCATTCGACGCTGTGCAGGTGTGAAAGTTTCGTCAGACCAAAGGCGAAGTGCTACACTGCAGTATTTCCAAGAAGTTTTAACATTTTTTATAATTTCTAGATCTGATTCCAACTTTTCCAATAAATAAATGAAATACATTAGGCATAAAAACTTGAAATGAATTTGAAACATACTCCCTGGCCAATTTAAAATACCACCGTCGCCACGTGTATATTTTGAACTACTATTGTTTAATGACTTTTTTAGATGCATGTTTGTTTTGAGACTGAAATTTTTGTGATACAAAACGCGTTAATTTCTTTTTAAATATTAATTAAAATATACTGGAAACGCTGACTAAGTGATCGATTTAGGTGGAAGTGGGGGGGGGGGGGAGCGGGGGTCTTAATCATATCGAATGGCAAACATATAAAGTTATTGTGAAGAAAGGTTTTTTTTCTCGCTAACAATAGACTTTATATAGAATTGTAGTGTATTATATTTAAATAAATATTTTTTAACCACACTATCAATTTAATTTGCTCCAAAGATATTTAATTAACTGTATATCCGCAGTACTATTTATAATTCTCAGAACTAGTTCTAATAATGTATTTCTATAGTAATTAAAAAAAAACGTGTTAGTAATAAATACTTTCGTAATTTTGCTGCAGTTGGTAAATTAATTGACATGGATTATTACATTGTATCTCTCCATTAACGATTTGTCGTCTTTAACATAACAAAAAAACGTTGCAGTGCTTGAAGTACCCGTATATTGCCCGTATTTTAATTCAATTTTTCAGAATCGTTCTTCATAGGTACATACTTATGACAACATTTTATTTTCCAGAGTAATTTAATAAATAACCTAGCAGCTAAGTTAGAATAATAATACAACATACTGAAGATATTTTTTCCCCACGAAATAATGATCCTTTAAACACGATATGTTAATTATCAAAATTCAAATCCTATAATCCTTTCTTACAAAAAAGATAAGTCCTTTCACTTCGGAGTACCGAATGACAGTGAAGACCGAACGATGTGAACGCTGAGAGCGAACGGTGAACGCTTTGTGAACGGTGAACGCGAGCGCACTGTGAACGCAGAACGCAAAACGGAGAGCGAACGGTGAACGAATGGTGAACGCACGCTGAACGAACGGTGAGCGAACGGGAAAATGGGAAAGTAGAACGTTTCAGGGACTGTATCAGCAAGAGACACTGGATGACACTTGAATTGTGAAGGATTGGCGATGGATCAAATATAAAGGAAAAGACCTTGACGCTTTGTCAGATAGATTAAAAGATAGTTGTTCAAATCTGTTAAACGCTTGAGGGTTAGAATAAAGACTATCTTTCTGTTTCAAAAATTCAGAAGTGAAAATAGAATAAGAAAGATTAAAGATAAATATGTACTGGTCTCACCTGACAAAGCAGTTTAAAAAGTTTAACATTTACTGCATTTTAGAGGAGCCTGGGTTTAACTCTACAAGTACACGAAGTTATCAAACTTATACCCTCAGTTCCCTTTCTAATGAGGAAAATCTTCAAAATCATTTTTCTGTTTTAATATTTTTAATAAAACCATCACCTATACTGAATTTGAATTACCATACCTACATGTATGCTGGAATCTTAAACTTCACAAGCATTTTTGTTTACTCCTAATGAAAATAATAACAACATTGAAGAAAAAAATTCAGCCGTCCAGTT